TGTATAATACATTCCATCTTCTACTACAGTGGTACAGTTTATATGTGTATTCAAGTGTTTTTGTATTAGCGTTTGCTTGTATAAAGAGCAATAGCGCCTCCTGTTGTCCTGATTTGGACATTGTTATTGTTTTGCAAAAAGTGCCAATGTTTGGCTCAAGTTGTTTCTATTTTATATGAATGAATTGAAACTAGTTGTACAATGGTTGATATTTTCTGTAGCAGAAAAAACTTTTGATACTGGTACAACATGTAATTGTTGAATTTAGGTTTGTTATTAAATGGATAAAAATACAAATGTATTGTGGTCTTATCCTTTCAAGATCAGTATCATGTGTGCTCCCGCCTTTACTATGCAAACTACATGATTATTGGACTCTTACTTTCCCTCCCACAGCCTGCATTTTTGTGTAAACATTAACCAGGAACTGTTGTACTCTTTTGCCTTGAACACACAGAGCAGACTTGAGAGAAGACTGAAAGGAAAAGCTGGAACTGTGGCCATTCTGAAACTGACCACAAAGTGAATAGATGAACTTGTAGTCCTCTCATGTACCTATACATGTTTTTGATCCACTGCGGTTGGATTCAAATAGTAGCTGAAGCAGGTTTCTGTCCTCGTTCACCAGTGCACTGTTGTATATTGTGAGGAGTCACTGAGGCGTAAAGGATCGTACCAGGATATGGCCGTGCAGAGGTGAGCTAACCTTTCAAATACGGTGACAATACTTTTTAACATCAACAGTCCTCTTTTTGTTCAGCAAACTTAACAAAATATCAGTCTAGAGTTTATAAATGGTTGGTTAGGCCTTTTGGAATCTATTTTTAAAAAGAAATTCTGTATCCTGTGACTGCTTGTGGCCTTTGCACTGACATGGGCATTGACAGTGGACAATACTCTTTAGTCACAAGGTACCAACCATACTGTTAATGGAATGTTTAATTTAGTTTTATGCTCATTTTGTGATAAGATTTTGTCATAATAGCTTTGTCTAAAGCTCACATAACTGGCCGATGTGGGTAGAACTCAAGTTGAGTAAATTTAATAAAATTGTACTTCTTGGAGTAGTTTACAGACAACATACTTCTACAAATATATTTACAGTGTACACAGTGTATACTTCCTTGAGTTAAAGGTACTGTTGCTCTTATTCAGAGGTGGGTAGAGTAGCCAAAAATTGTAGTTCAAAATAATATGACTCAAGTAGAAGTGCAAAGTAGTGATCCAAGAAATTAAAAAAGTACTTCTCAAGTAAGAGTAATTGCTGGGACATAACATCTGATTTATAGTTTGAGGTTAATGTAATTGGAAGGACTAAGCATTAAATAATGCACAACATCTGTTTTTTTGAAAGGACAGGACAACAATGAGAAAAATGAAATCAGATCTGAAGGAGCGGTCCAAGAAACACAAATGTTCAAATCAGTTCATTTTGTCAACATAAAACTTTTGTCATTTGTAGACTTACTCACTGTGAGAAGTGTCACCAAGGCTTTTACTCAAGAAAGAATACTGTTACTTCAATGAAAATATCAAGTAAAAGTATGTTGCTAGAAAGGAACTCTGAAATGTACAATTTCTTTAAAAATATACTCAGATGAATGTAGCTGAGTACTACCAGTATTACTAGTATAGAAATGGCAAAGCTTTATATTGACAATATACATTTTCTTGTGTGTTTGTATTTCTTATATTGTTTCTTATTGTTTTTTAGATATGATTTTATAATTTGTGGCCTATACTTAAAAAATGTGTGTGTTATTTAATGTTTTGTCCTTCCAATTACATTAACTTCAAATTATAAATCACATGCTACGCACAGTTACTTGATTTGTAGTTGCCCCACTTTACTTGAATCATTTGGGCCACTTTATACTTCAACTCGAGTAATATTTTATTTTAGACTTTGACTTAGTGATCTTACTTAAATATTTATTTTACTATTCTACCCAGCTCTTGTAGTTACTAATACTGCGATATGTAAACACAAGTAGGCCGGGAGCCAGGTCCACTCCTCAGGATGTTTTTTGCTACCTTTTTTTCACTATTATTTCCTGTTATCTTATATTTTGGGCTATCACAAGTTGATAGGGACCAATGCCAACTTGGCCCTGTTTAGTCTCAGGGCCATAAAACACCCTATTTAAGAAAAACTGCTGGCAAAATGATGTAAGTGTAAATATTAAGGTGCCGCAACTGCATAAATGGACAAATAACACTAAAATTGTGCATGGTTTATCCTGACACATGGGAGAAACTAGCAGAAAAATATTCTGGGGCTTTCTACTGTCAAATATCTCACTCAACATAAACCCAAAAAATGTCTGTCTGACAAACTGTCATCAAAAGTGATAATTTTCAAGCATTTTATTACATATATCGCTGCCTCAAATGTACCTGAAAAACTCCCCAAGTTTATAAGCTTAAATTTACCTTTGTATCTAGAGGATAACACCTCTATGACCAAAGTTCTTCACTGTACATCAAATTGGCAGAAAACAGAACTTTCAGGCATTACTATTTCATATTTTAAGCAATTTTTTTTCATAGAAACAATATTTAATAATGATAAAGTAGACTACCTTTTTTCATCTCTTTCCCACACAGCTTCTTAGAGCCTGCGAAACCTCCAGAATCTCCAGAGGGGTTGGTGGAGTGGTTCCTGCAACGGGTCCAGCATGAATCATGGGCACTAGGGGGCGCTGTGGTGATCGCTATCTTCATCTTGGGGACTCTCTCTCTGGTTGTGTTTGCCCTGGTGTATGGATGCTGCTGTAACACGCCTAAGCAGGGGCAAAGAATAGCAAAAAGGAAGAAGAATTCCAACGAGGTCATATAGTCTGCAAACATGGCTTATACATCATATAGGTGTTGTTTTTTTGTTTTTTTTCCCCACACAATACCAAGAACTAGTCCCTACACTCCCTAAATTCCTATTTACTCAGAGGAGACCCAGCCCCCCTTCAAGGTGCACAATGTAACTTTTCTGGAGCTCCTATATTGACTCTTGTGAGCTTAAACTATGTTAGAATTCTGTTACCTCATCAAAAATGCACTTGGAGTTCACACATTTGAGAAACCCTTTATTATCCATCTGTCTACATCGGCAAAGATCAAAACGCTCTGTTCTGAAGCAGTAGTTTTAGAGATTTGGAGACTGGAAATTCTGGAGCTGAAATCCACATGATTCTAGTGAAAGTGTCTGTAACAGTGGAGCACTTCCTGTATTACCACATGACATCACAAGGTGGAACTCAATGTTTCCTGTATGAGAGAAGAATTCAGTCTAACATGTGTGAATGCAACAAAACACAACTCCAGGTCTGTTTGTGATGAGGAAACTACATTATTTTTAACATAGATCAGAAAATAGCCTAAAATGGGGCCCTTTAAACTTATCTCTCTCCATGAAGACACACAGCCGATCAAGATATCTGTAACCAATTGAAGCACCTGAATAAATAAAATGGTGGTTATTTAGTGCACCTTTCATCTCCCTTCATCCTACCTCTATAATGCGCTGTAAACTGTGATGCAATTACTACTTACTAATTATAGAGTTCTCTTGTGGATCACATGGCAACAAACACTCTCTCAGTTTTCAAATATTTGTGCATTTCTCAATTCTGATGTTGTAGCCTAAAGGCAGTTTCGACAGTGATCTATTAAACTTTACTAATGAAAGCGAAGATGCATAAACTGGGAAAGTACCAAGAACTGCAAACGGTATAGTGGAAAAACGTAATTGCTTCTTTGTGTAAATATTGTGTTGGAGCATACATAAATTAAAATTGCCTTTTTGTGTAAATAAGCCAATTTCAGCCTTTGTTTTAATGAAATGAAATGTATTAACTGTGTTGTTGTTGCTGTTTTTTTTTTTTTTTTTTTTCATTGCATGTATTGTGAATAAAGTCACAACACATCCCCTACAATTGCCTATGCTTTGCCAGTTTTTGATCAGTTTTATCTGTTTGTGTATTTGACATTGTCCATGTTTTATATTATGACCTGTGCACACGTGGAAGGTGAGAGAGATCAAAAGCGAAAGTAGAGAGAAAGGGAGGTAGCCTAAAGATAGGAAAAAAGAGACACTCGTATACTATGCAACTTTTCTGGAATCACCTGCTTGACTTGCCCATTAAAGGGCACTATTAAGGACTATTTTAGATCTGTGTGACAATGTTTCCTCATCACAAACAGACCTGGAGTTGTGTTTTGTTTCATTTCATGTTTAAAAGAAAAACCCTGCGTATTTAGAGTCTTCTCTCAAATATAAAACACTTTATTCCACACTGTGATGTCATGTGGCAATACAGGAAATGCTGTACTGTGTTTTTAAACTCCATACACTACATTCACTAGAACCATTTGGATTTCAGCCCTGGAATTCTCTAGTTCACTAAAGAGCAAGAGGTAAAAGGTAGCTGTTCACATGAAACTATAGCATGACATCACAAGGTGGAACAGAGCATTTTGAGCTTTAGAGATGTAAACAGTCTAATAATAAAGAGTTACTCAAACATTCAAACGTGTGAATGAAACAAAGCACAACTCCGGGTATGTTTTTGATGAGCTAACAACATTTCAACATGACGAAAATCTCACAATAGTAATTTTTTGCGCAAACCTTAAATGTCACATAGTAGTAGTGCATAATCTCACCAACAGAACAATTTGATAAAAGATAACTATAAGATACTCAAGTGAAGTTTTCCCAGTCAATTATCAGTCAAAATAAATAGCTCTTTTGTGCAGACGCGACACCATGAACTACAACTCCCGTTTCTTTTTCTTTCTTTCTTTCTTTCTTTTTTTTTTTTAAATATAATTTAAAAACAAAACAATAACAAAACTGACATACATGTAATTGCAAGTTATTGTTAGAAATACTGTTTAGTGTTAGAAGATAATTCTTAAAGTCTAGGATATTGGATTTTAATTGAACTACAACTCCCGTGATCCAACCGGTATTTGAGTTTATGACGTTTTTGTCCCGCGACTCTTTTACATTTATGCGACGCGCACAACAGAGCAGCTATGGCGAGCGGTAAAAGGAGTGCGCTACTTTCTTCTTTAGCAGCTTATGGAGAGTCCGAACCCGACTCAGACTCGGACTCAGATGGATCAGGTAATAACACATCTATTGAATGTGTTGATTTGCGTTGATCGGGTGCCAGACATTTAAAACTGTAAATATAGCTCTCAGTAGAGCTTCATGTGGTGGCTAATGATAGCACAGTACGCGAATGATTTAACTAGATCACGTTTAAAAAATGACTTTAAAGTTAATTTTTAAGTTATTTTCAAAATTATTTTAGAGCTATTTTACTGTTGACCTGTGTTAATGTTAAGTATTTCATTAGCTATATTATTTGTAACGAGAAACTAATTTAACTGCACCTATACCTAGCTACAGTATGTAACAAATATGACTGAAGCTGGTATCACAGGTTAAGTAGGCTAATAGTTCAAGTATTCAAGTTAAAAAATATATAATTTACTGATTAATGCCAATCAAAGTCTAAACGGATACATTCAATATAATTTTAAAGCCGCAATATGTAACTTTTCTGATAGAATGACCTACCTGCTTGTCTGTCTTCATGGAGGTGTTATTGCTTTATAGATAGCGCTGATGGTTCACTAATGGTAATGGCTAACTTATCGATTTTCATGGAGGCAAGCAGGTAATACCCCAAGTCATATCTGTTTAAAGGCAAGTGTGCGCTCCGGAATGATTTCAAGCGTTTGCAATTGAAATGCAAGATGGATATGTTTAATGCCGTAGTCTGGAAAGATCCTGGCAAACTAACATCTCTGTGGAAACAAACCACAGGCCCTCCACCACCATAAAAGTTCCATAGTGCTATTTTAAAGGTCCTATATATTACACAAAACTGACTCTTACGAGCTTTAAGCCATGTTATAATTCTGGTATTAATAGTCTGTCAACATCTCCAAAGCTCAAAATGTTGTGTTCCACCTTGCGATGTCAAAAAGTGGTAGTGTTTAAGTTAACAGCTACATTTTACCTTTTAGTCCATGAAATGATCCAAATGATTCTAGTGAAGGTGTATGGAGTTTAAAACTGCGCTGGAGCATTTCTTGAGTTATTGTTTTTGTTTGACAGAAGAACACGGACTAAACATGCAGGGTTTTTTGTGTGAAATATGTGAATGAAACAAAACACAACTCCAGGTATGTTTGTGTATATAAACAACATCATAAGATGGATCAGAAAATATCATAATATGGGCACTTAAAGTATTCATGTTATAAAATTAAAATATAAAACACTGTTAACTGTCAAACAATGTCTTAAGTCAGGCATACAGGTATACCTAGTGTAAATTAAGCTAGTTATTGACATGCAGGAAATAGAAATGAGACAATAAACAATAATATCATGTATCGACATTCAAATTATAATTATTCAATCCATAACATTTAAAACTGTCAGCAACTTTAATAATTAGCATGGTATAATTGTTAATTGGCCATGGTAATCGTGACACCAAATTTCAGTATCTTTTTTGTACAAGCAGTAATTTTTCTAATTTGTAAGAAATGTATTTATCCTTTATTCTAATATGCTGTGTTTGCTTGTCCTTGTCCTTGTCCCTCTCAGAGAACCGGGTAGGAAGCCTGGTCTACGGCTACGGTGAGGATGGAGAGGAGATGAACAAGACCGAGGAAGCAGTGGACAAAGTTTCTCCCGATGAAGACAGCGGAGGAAGCAACTCGGTCAGTATTACAAAGAAATGTGTGTTTGGGAACTATTTGAAAATGCTCTTTTTCATTGTTTTTCTTGGCTGCTTCATTTATGCTGTGCTATTATTGGTATATTTGTAATAAGAGTGTGTATTTCTGAAAAGCCAAGGGACCCAGATGCTCAAAAAATTGGGAAATATTGGGGCAGTATATTGGGTACTGATATCGGCAAATATCAATTCAGATTTTTTTATATCGTGTTGGCCAGTGTCTAAACGTGATACCAACATTCAGTACCAGCACTGTCCCATTCTCTTTGTGCCCTATTGAACAGATTAAAGGCCCATTTTATGCAATTTTCTAATCTATGTTATAATGTTTCCTCATCACAAACAGACCTGCAGTTGTGTTTTGTTTCATTCACACATGTTTAACACACAAAGTTGAGTAGTTTCATTAAACTGAAAACACCATGTGATGTCACATGGTAATACAGTAAGTGCTCTGCTGTGTTTTTAAACTTCATGCACATCCACTAGAATAATTTTAATCATTTCAGTCCTGGAATTCCCAGTCTCTACAGAACAAAAAGCTGTTAATGTGAAAACTGCAGTTTTATGCCATCACAAAGCGGAACAGAGCATTTTGAAGCTTTGAAGATGTAGACAGACTAATAATAAAGGGTTACTCAAAAATGTGTGAGTGAAACAAAACACAACTCCAGGTCTGTTTTTAAGGAGGTAACAGATTCTAGCATGGCTAAAAACTCACAGGAAAAAAACTTTGCATAATATAGGACCTTTTTAATAGATCAAAATGTAAATAAAAAAGTGTTATATGGCTGTTTACACAAGTATGTGACTAATTATTTAATATCTCAGGTAACGTTGTGTAAAAGATAATAACAAAATGTATTTATCTATTGATTCTTTCTTTAACTTCAGATACATTTGTGGGCCTCAATATGGATCTTTTAAAATGTAAATATTGGTATCGAAAAGTATTGATTTTTGGCCACCACAGCCAGCCAAATATAATGGTTCCAAAAAAATAAAATTAAAAGTATTGTCCTGCACCTGAATTAGGTTGTTTAAAAATCAATGTTGTAAATAAATCAATACTAAAACTACTACGAAAACCACATACTTAATTGAACAGGTTTTGAAATATGTGTTTATTTTAAAGAATATACACATATTTCGATATTTATAATTGAAGCAGGTTTCCTGAGTAGTTTTAGTCCTTGTTAGCCATTCTAGTTCCATGAGCATCACTACTGGGAAAAGGGAAAAAATACCCCATGCCAAGGGGACAGCAGATGACAAAATACCCCGATTTGGACTGGAGGTTAGCTGTTTGCTGTAGGTGAAATATCCATTTGTTTTACTATTAAAGGTGCTGTACCTGATTTTACAGTCTTTAAATAAACTAATAACAAGTTAATTTTAAATGGTTTACAGTGGTCCAAAGTTAGTCCTCACTTGCTTTATCTATTTTGATTGTGCTACAACAACTAGCTAATGCACACTTCCTGTATACCGGACAATAAAACACTTTAATGCAGACAGAATACATTGTTATACATGGGATCAAATTGGGTACAGGCCCTTTTACTTTCATCTTGCCTCATTATGTTTTGCAGTTTCATCACACCAGTTTCCCATTTCAATTTAGTTCAGTTTAGCGGGCATAAAAACGTACTTGCCTTACTTTTTATGTTTATATTTATGCAATAGCACTTTAAGGTTTTACAGCAACACATTAAAATCAAATGGGTTTAATTTTGTCTTTAATGTTTTTCTTGCTGTTGTTTTATCTGTTTTTTCTATGTCTAACTTTGTGAATGGGTGCATTTCCGGATGGCAGGCCCGTACTGCTCCCCAAGGTCCCCACCAGGAGCCCCCTCCCTGGGCTTCTCTCGTTGACCCTGTGCATTTTGTGTTTTCATAGGAGATGGAAGAATCTGACGAGGGGAGGGACGCGAATGATGTGGAGGTATTTGAAGCACTTAGAGGTGGTTAGTTAGACCCAAAAAAGGCCTTTTTTTTTGTGGCTTCTAATATGGGAGAGGGGGCATGGTCACTAGATGGCGCTGTGGGCTCACTTATGTTGCTGCTGATGTCACTGAAGGATGTGTGAACGATTAACTCTTTTCTGGTTCTTGTCGTTCTTGCAGCTAATTCTTTGAGCATATTTTTGTCAGTATCCTTTCCTGTCCTTTACTAACCATTCCTGTGTGAAATTTAAACTGTATTTGTTGTCAGCTCTGGCTACTTTACCATCACTGTTGTGTGTGTGGGGAGTGGATGAATCAAGTTCAAAGTGAAAAGTCCTGTTTTAAGACTAATGAACTTGTATTAGTAGTATTTCTAATCTATGTATTATAGTGTCACTATAGCTGGCTGTGTCTGGCTGCTAAGCATAACCCTGTAATAACATTTTAAACAATTGTCTGTAATGGATGGTAAACGATCACATTTGTATACAGCTCTTTTCCATCTTCAAGGCATGCAGAGTCACTCACCCACACACACATTCATGCATCAGTGTACAGAGACAGTGAAGGTGAGATGGGTTGAGTGACTTGTCCAAGGACGCAACAACAGCATTCATCTGTAGGAGCTGCAATTGGAATCGCACCATCAACCTGTGGGTGAGTGGATCTGACCGCTCAACCAGTGATGTTTTTGTTGAGAGTGGGATTCGAGCCGCCAACCTTCAGATCAGTGAACAAACGCCCAATCAACCTTCTAACTGAACTACAGTTGGATGGATGGACATTTCTTCCTACTGCTCCACATGAAGTGATGTTGACAGACCTTGCATTAAAGATGTGGCAGAACACAGTTCGTGTGGACACTTATTTAAGATCTAGTTTAAAGACTTTCTGCTACAGTCCCAGGGCTCCCCTGATGATTTTTAACCTGACTCTCTGACATAGATAGGTTGATAGGTTGATAGATAGGTTTTCTGTAGAATTCCAATTCCCACAAATTAATACAGAAAAAAACTAAAATGTGGCTTTTTGCTGCTGGTGTTCCAATCAGTGAGAACAGGTAGAGGGTGCTCTTGGAAAAAGAATCAAAACTTAAAATGCAACGAAATCCAGGCACTCCAAAGAAGTAAAAATTGCACGAGGAAAAATATAGTTAAAAGGCCTTTATTTAGATGGCGAAAGTCAGCATGTTTCAACCAAAAGGGTCTTCCTCAGGGCTTAGTTGCTTAGTTAGCCCCACAAATTAATATTGTTGTTGTGTCCTCGGGCAAGACACTTAACCTGCCCAGTCCCCAGTGTCTGCGAACACAAATGATATGAAGTGCAAATAAGTGCCTTGAAAGTAGAAAAGCGCTATGTAATTTACTGTTTTTTTTATGTAGATAATCCCCGGCACAGGTTCTAGATCAGTTGAAGGCTCACTTTGAGTCTTGCTGTGAGTGTCCTGCTCCACTGTATTGTTTCTTCTTTTCTGTCAGATCCTTATCAGGCTTGTGTAAATAAGAGGCAGCTATAGTTGGCCCACATAATCCTGCTGATAAGACACAGAGAACAGCTGGATTTCATTTACCCGCTCAAAAACATGTGTCTTGCTCTGAGACGTTAGCCTGTGTCAAAACACTTTGTTCAATGCCAGTGTTGTTATTGAATCCACAATCTTCAACATGTTCAAATATTCAAACATTCTTTAGTGCTGTAGTCCTGAAGTTGTTTAGTTAATTAATCAGTGGATGGTGTCTTAGTCAACCAAAACTTATATACAAATGAATAATACTTAAATATGTCTTTGCATATTTGAAATAAGTTTATGTTAAAATGTAAAAAAAAAAAAAGTGAAGGCCCACCTCAAACTTCCTTGGTTATTTTTTTAATCAGATTGTCCTATTTAAAATCAACAGAGGTGACACTAGCTCAGTTGGTAGAGCGTTTGTCCACTGATCCGAAGGTTGCCACTCTTGACATAAACCTCTTTGGTTGAGCGGTCAGATCCACTGGCCCACAGGTTGCTGGTGCAAATTTAGCTCCCACAGATGAATGCTGTCATTGTGTCCATGGGCAAGACACTTAACCCACTTCACCATACTGCTGTATGAATGTGTGTGTGAATGCGTGAGTGATTCCTTGTTGTAAAGCGCTTTGAGTGCCTTGAAGGTGGAAAAGCTCTGTATAAAAATGTGACTATTGACCACTGACAGTTTTGTAACAGAAGAACAGCAGGAATTACATTTTTCAACAATTTTGACAATTGCTTGTTCATTGTAGCTAGTACAGAGCCATATGCTGTACTTATTGAAGTAAACTACTTGGAGATATGGATTAAATACATTTGAAGAACAAAATATTTTGTTTATACATTAAAAGTTGGTAGTAGGAATAACGTCACAAAAAATTGTAGTTTTAGCATGAACTCCCCCTGCAGGTGTAGTCTTATGAGTGCAGGGTCAGGTACACAGAGATGCGTAATCATTTGGGACTTTTTCTTTAGTCGACTACATCCCTATCACTTTATTACTAAAGCAAGACTCATTTCAGTCTGATATTGCATAGCCCCATAATTGCGTAAATTGAAAAAACAAATATTTTCAGTAGAATCTTTCCATTTCCAGCCGTTGTGCTGTGTGCAAGTATGCGCTGAAATGCCATGAGAAAACAGAACCAGCTGTTAACTCTGAAGCAATGCAACGTCTCTGTCATAAATTCTGCGGGACTGAATATTGAAAAGATAGTGGGACTGGCTCAGATAACCCTCCCATTGGTCCATTCAGAAGATGGGTGACCAAGGATTGCACACTTCGATTTTACACTCACACTTGTATGTATAAAAATTTTGCAATAGTTAATTTGTGGAGTGCTTATGTGGTTACAAGCTGCCATACAATACTGGCTATAGATCCTAGGGTGTTGTGGAAAATAACCTGAGAAATTAATGGTTTTAAATGCATTGCACATTACATCATTTGCCACAATTTTAGCATGTTAGAATATAAAAAACAGATTGGAAAATGTTTTAAGAACTTGGCGGTTTGTAACATTTCATAAACATATTGTGGTGTTTAGTTGCCACATAGCTGAAAAACCTGGTCTTACATTATGCTAAATTGACTCTTGTGAGCTTTTGGCCATGTTAGAATGTTGTTACATCCTCAAAAACAGATCAAGAGTTGTGTTCTGTTTCATTCACATATTTGAGTAACCTTTTATTATTAGTCTGTTCCACCTTGTGATGTCATGAAGCAGTAGTTTTCAAGTTCTCCTTTTACCTTTAGTTTAGTAGAGATGGACAATTTCAGGGCTCAAATCATCCAAATGATTCTAGTGAAGGTGTTTGGAGTTTAAAACACATTGGAGCCTGTATTACCTCATGACATCATAAGGTGTTTTTAGTTCGAGAGAACAACCTAAATCTGCAGGGTTTGTGTGTTTAACTGTGTGAAATAAACAAAACACAACTCCAGGTCTGTTTGTGATGAGGAAGCAATATTATAACATACAGTAGATCAGAAAATTACGTATTATGGGCATTTTTTATATATGTTTTGGAAAGTTTGGAGGGGGGGATGAACAGACAATTTACTTCCAGAAGTTTGTAGAGGCGGTGGGCGGGTGGGATCACTGTATTACTCCATTGTGTTGTGTCCTGTGATCACCCGTGCCTCTCTGCCCTTCATCTACGCCTCTCTTCCCCCCTTTTAGGTCAAGTCTGTGCTCCCTCTGTCCCGTTGCTATGGTGACCGTGAATAACACTACCCTGTTCCCTCCACCTCCCCGTCCACCCACTCCCCTGGCACTGGCACCGGGGCAGGCCACCCCTTTAGACAAGGCTAGATTTACGGCCATGGCTCCTGGTGCTTCTTGGAAAGCCCATTAGGTAGATCAGTGTGTGTGTGTGAGATTTGTAGCTACGATGACGTCTTGATGGAATGGCTGCCTTTTGTTTCCAGATGGGCATTTTTCACCGGAATGTTCTTTGCACCAACCACAGAATTCCTCAGTCTGCTGTTTTAAAGGGGGATTAAATATGCTGTGTCTCTCTCTCTCCCCTCCCTCCTCCTCTTTTTTTTTTGTCTTGCAGGTGACGGAAGCCGAAACCAGGGATCCTAATGAACTAGTTGGTGAGTATGTTATGTGTATGTTGGAAATCACTCTGTAAGCATGCCTGATTTTTACTGTCTTTAAAACAAAGTGAGAAAATGGTTAATTTTAAACAGTTTGCAGTGGTCCGAAGTTATTCTTCGCTTTCCTAGTGCATTCCAAGCATCCTAATTTTTCACAATGATGAGTTTTTAAGCACTTTTGACTACTTTCAGAGGTCAGAGCGGAGTTTTCTCTCCACGAAAATGGCAATATGCCATATATACCAGGGGTCTCCAACCTGTAGCTCTCCACCTCCTTCCAAGTACCTCGCCAAGGGATTTTGAAATTGTGCTGAATAAAAAAGCACTGATTAAGTACATGCCTATTACCATTGTATCTTGAAGCCTTTAATATTATTAACTAATAATGGACAATGGTTTATGTTTGATAGGCATAACCGTACCCAGTTAGATGCCCTCTTTCTTATAATCATCTAAATTTCTTGCGGTCGCTAACATGAGCAGCTCACTGGCATTTTTGTTTTGTAAAGGAGCTCACCAGAGGAAAAAGATTGGAGACCCCTAGCTCAAACTCATCTCATCATCTCACTTGTCACATGCATGATCCACTGCAATTAAACTACCACATGTTTTATATATAATGCCTTCTACAGCTTTATTATTTTTATATACCTAGATCAGGGTCTCCAACTTTCAGCTCTGGGGTTACCAGGAGCTTGTGAATTAGACTGTGTGTATTGTGCTGAATAACTAAAATTTGCATAATTAAATGCCTATTACCATTGTAAATGTATAATTTTGATGCCTAACTTTTTGCACAGTGTAGACTTCTCTTTTTAAGTGTATTAATTGTATTATTTATGCAGCATTTTTGAGTGTTTAGAAATCACTGTTACGGTGTTAATATTACTTTTATTATTCACCAAAAAATGCATATTGATTACTGTTTTGTAAGTATCTAAATGTTCCTCATCTAAGTCTTGACATGGATGTTATACAGGCTATAGCCTACTCAATTTCTTGCAACCACTAAATTAGTAGCTCTCAGGCATTTTCTTTTGTAAATGTAACTCACCGGAGGAAAAATGTTGGAGACCCCTGATATAAACTGTAAATGGACAGGGCAAACCTCCTAGCTGCTGCATTCCAAATAGAAAGTGAGCATGAGTGCATTTCTGGCTCCATCGTCTCCGGCTTCAATTCACTTTGTTTTGAAAAAACCTTCTCTCCATAACTGCTGCTGTCTTAAACTGTTCATGTGAACCAGCTCTACCAGCATGATCGTGGTGTTTGTATTTCACTGTAAATCAAATTCCGTAAATCAATTCCTATTCCTAAAATGGAACTTGGCTCCAAATTTGCTCCTATAACTGCTAGCCTCTGTGAGCTTTATTTGACTGAAGCTGAACGCTATGAGTGACGTCACACCACTTCTTTATACAGTCTATGTGCTACCAACAACTAGCATGCTAACAGTAACTTTGGTGTTACGCCGTAGTTTGCGATCGATTAAAAATGCTTTCTAATTAGATGCAGACAGCACATAGCACCCTCTTTTTGACCCTTTTAAAATTTAGCTGTACTGTGGTAAGACAGATTTGGCAAGCAAAATTATATTTATCACTTGTGGAAAGACAATTAATGGTCCTATATTACACCCAATTGACTCTTGTGAGCTTTAAACAAATACCATTACCTCTAAGAGACATGGAGTTTTTGTTTTATTCACATATGTCTGAGTAACTCTTTATTATTAGTCTGTCTACATCTCCAAAGGCTCAAATGATTCTAATGAACATGTATGGTGTTTAAAAACACAGTGGAGCACTTCCTGTACATATCACAAGCTGGAGCAGACTGTTTTCAGTTTGAGAGAAGAACCTAAATGTGCAGGGTTTGTGTGTTTTAAATTTGTGAATGAAACAAAGCACAACTCCAGGTCTGTTTGTGATGAGGAAACAACATCACAGCATAACATAGATCAGAAGATGGCGTAATGTGGGCCCTTTAACATTTGACAGCTCCTAAATGAGTGTTAAAAAATAATAATTCCATACTGTAGCATCTTTACCACTCAGTCTGTTTGTATTGGCTTTTAATATGTGACTTTGACTTCCCCATAAACCTTTTAAGGCTTTAATTACCCAGTGAGTCACCAACTAGAATCTACTTGTCAAATACTATGCCCAGAAGTCAAGCTTTGTTCACTTTGAATCATAAGCAAGTCGAACAAAATAAAACACAAAAATTGCTGTTGGAAAATGTCTTATAATGTAAACATAAAGCGTATTCATTCAGAGCACTCATCCTTGTCACGGATTGCTTGAGAAACCAGTTGACATTGCAGATGTTTTTGAAAAGATGATAGACTTAGGCATGTCCTTGCTGGATTCCTGTAGCTATGGCTAAAAAGTAGTTCAGGTTCATTTTAACCCGTAAATTCTAGTAAATGGATTTGAAATGAGCATGACCGCGCTTCTGGCTTCATGGACTGTCAGGCTCCTCATTTTGGTCTTAAACTGTTCGTATTAATCTGCTCTACTTGATCCTGATGTTTTTATTTCACTATTTTGTCCATAAATCAATTTCTTTTCCTAATATGAAACTTGGCTCAAGTACATTTAAATATTTTACATTTAAAGGTATTCTGTTGAGATTGTTCTCAGTGAGATGTTATTTTTTGCCCAGAATGCTCCACTTTATAGCTTTAAACTTATCTCCATGGAGATACAGGTCAGATCACTGGAGAGGTGAGCACTTTTGGCAGTTTGAATACATGTTTTTACATTTCACAGTATTTATTTTAGCAATACAAACACTTGTGACTGACAGGAAGTAAGAGAGATGTTTAATACCATACTGCAAAACACGTCAGAAGAAGAAGGCCCTCCCAGTAGAAAAGTTACAAAGTGCATCTTTAGTAAATAACATTGGTGAAAGTCATTATCTTGCTCAATTACAGTTGTTGGTTACACTGCTTGACTAATAGGAAGTGGGTTTGTCAGTACAAGCTCATAAGTGCAGGTGTGGGATTGGTCACCAGAGGAGACAGTAAGTCAACTAAGGGAGCGGTTACCATAAACTTAGTCCATTGTTAAACTTTAAACTGCTGCTTTATATCTCTTTGATAAATTATGATAAGAAGTTCTCAGGTATGTATAAAGTAATATTTGGTGTGGTTTGACCTTATAACTTTTTAACATCAAAGATATAAGTGGTTTTATATTTAGGGATGTAATAATTCACTGATTATGAAGCTTGGGTTTGGCTCCATTAGATTTTAAGTTGGATTTATTTAGGCTCCTTTTGCTGTTATTCTGCCTCTACAGTCATTTTGAAGACAGTAGGAAGGCCTAATGGTATTTTTGCATGATGCACAAACTTGATGGGATTACATGTTAGAACATTTATCTGTCTGTCAATTGGAATCTAAGAATTATAATGAATAACATGTCCAAGTGGACACATTGGCCCATATCCTTGATTTTTGCCTGTATTTCTACGAACACCTAGCCTGATTCATGAGCCGGTTTCACTTTGTGGAACCCGTCTGACCTTGCAGCATTAGAATTTGTTCGCTTGACGGTAGGCAGGTACATTTTTTTATTTAACCAATCGCTGCTATTTAGTCGTGATATATGTAATGCACTGCTAACAGGGCTAACTGGTATATTAATCTTTTCCCAAATCCCGTAGAAAGAAGGGCAATAACGTTTTTCCCCTTCATAAAATTCACCAAACATTCTCTTGTTCCAGCTTTAAATCCTTGATCTCGGGAATCGTTGCCAACACAGAATGTCTGTCTTCGTCTACATCCATCTCGACTGCTTTGTTTACTGTTGTGTTGTACCACAAAAGGGACCAGACATGCGCTTGAGTTTGATGTCATGACTTTACAGCTTTTTGCTGATTGGCTGGTGCACAAACTCACACTCTTGCAAACCGTCTAGTGTATTCCAATTCCTGACCTAGTTGCTGGAGAGAAATTAAATTAAGTGGAGGCACTAGGTGACGCCAGCCTGGCTAACAAACACCCAATCGGCCAATAATATTGGCCAATCTATACATTATGGGTTAGAAATAGTGTTTTTAGATCAAATCATGTCCCTGCAAAGCTGCCGTAGATGTTTTAATTTAGCTAAAAGTTGTGTTGTTGTGTTAGTGCATTGGCTGTTGGCCTTAAAGCTCAAGCACCTGCACATATTTTGTTTTGGTTGATATAATGCCTAAAAAGTACACATAAAGATTTATTTTAACACTTTCAGTGTGAAGAGATAATTTGAGGAAAATAATAAAATCAGTCCTGCATATAGGCCCAAGAATATCTGCAAAGCTTATCGGCCATCGGTTTCTCTGAGTTTTAAACAATCAGAATCGCCATCGGCCATGTCAGTCCATCTCTAGTTTGCCCACAGTAAGAATGCATGTTTTTCAAGGTATGTTAGGCAAAACAAACCCCTGTAATTGAATAAATAATAAGTTGAATGCCTTACAGTGGAACATTCTGAATGCTTAGCCAGCTTTACCGCACATAGCTGACAATAACCACATCTCAAAGCCAAAGCCATTATCGGTGGTACTTTCCCATAAGGTGTTAATTACATCAGGCATGCACCAACACAGCCCTCTGTTTTGCCTCTTTGGAAATTCTTTAATTCTAATATTGTGTTCCAAAATGAACACCAGGCGCTCGTCCAGCAGGGCAGCCTGGTTCTTCTGTGTTGTGTGTCCGTAAATGTCATCGCGCGCCGGGCCTCAAACGCCCTCTTTGTCCCCTCTTTGAACGGATGTGCTTTGTTCATATGTCCCCGAGACCCCCAAGGCATGCAGCCACTTTTCAGACAGTTTTTAACGCCTCACATGGAAATTTAGCCTGGTAGAATATAAGCGTTGTCTGTTTATCGTTTTTTTGTATCTGAATTTTCACAATATTCAGATTAAATTTAAAGGAATGCTGTGTAACATTAAGGAGTAACCATTAACCATTAGGAGTGGTATAGTTTAGTTTTTATAGTTCA